AAATCACAGCCATCACCAAGGCTAAGAGGAAGATATATGTCTTGAAATAAGAGGATTTGACCTAATTACGGGTTCATGGAAAGCTTCCCTAAGGAGGTGACTACTGAGCTGAGATCTGAAGGATGACTAGGAACATGCCAAGCAAAGCAGAGAGGGAGGATGTGCAGAAGTCCTGTGGTCGTGGCAGTAGAAGGGGAGAGGGAACAGTTCGAGGGTACCACGCAAGTATGGAAAACTGAAAGGAGGCCAGTGGGACTAGAGGGGAGACAGGGAGGAAGAGTATGGCTGAAAACCAGGTTAAAGACACAGCCATACCAAGTAGGACCTTGTAAGCCAATTGAACTTAGAGCTGAAGGATGGATTCCAATTCCATAAGGCCATGATTCCACCCAATGACTGCCCTTTTTGTTTTTGTTTTTTTGGTAGCAATGGTCAAATTCCAAGTTGTCTTCATTGGTGTCTAAGTTTGTGGTAGTTCCAAATGGATGTGGGGGACCATATTTCCTTGTGCCAATAAATCTATGTTTTTATGTCCTAGGTTAGTGTGACTTTCAGCAGGTAGGAATAATTTCTTTTTAAAAAATTATACTTTGAATTAAGTTACTTATGGGTATAATGGATTATAAATAACATGGTGTGAGCTATTGAAATCCACTTCACTTTTCTTGTGTGCCGTAATAAGGTGCAGTATAATTTATGGTTTACAAATTTATAGACCCAGAGTCATAGCTCCAGACTACAGAATGTAGAATAGTTTCCTTTTAAATTTCAATTTTTCTTCTAAATCTGGCTGGTGAAAAATTTACTTCTGCATTTCTGTGGCAACATCAATCCCTGTTTCTTCTTAGTATTTCAGAATTCAGAAATCACATAATTTTAAAATTGGAAGAGATCTTCATAGGTCATCTAACTTACCTCCTCCTACTTCCTCTGGAAACAGTCATGTCTGTATATCTGGGCAAGGTGAAAGTCCCCCCTTTAATAAAAAGATATCTGGAAAAATATTTTCTCTCAGAATGAAGGTCTGGCAACTAGTAATTCTTATAGAGTTCCACCCCAAAACATTGCTTATATTTGTCAAATATCCTCTTGCACTTGTGAAAATAGTGAAAAGGTTTCAAATTATTGAGGATACCCTGGGGATTTTTAGGGCATTTCCATATAGGGGACTAATAGTATATGTAAAATGACTGAGGTCAAAGATAGACCCCAGCAGCATGAGAAAAAATATCTGCTAAGCCCTGGGATAAGGGATAGGTTTTTGAATTAATTTATGTAAACCAGAGCCATAATTATGAAGTGTAAAGAACACAGGTGAAAAAAATGAGAAGATAATTAGATCCTAAAAAGCATTTGAGGTACTGGAACGTGAGCTTGGAGATCTACTGAAAAGGGTCTATCTATCACTACTAAGAGAAAAATACTACAGCTATAAACATGAAGTTTTGCTCAAAATAAAGACAATTTCTTACACTTTGGGGAGAATGAAGTAGGGATAAGTCAATGTAACAAAGCAAATAAACTATTTAACATGATCATTCTACCCTCTGTGTCTCTGTGTCATGATTTTATGTTTTGATATGCTACTAGTCAGTTCTTAGAAATTGAGAATGGAATACCTGCATAAGGAAGTTTTTAAGGTATGCAACTGCAAGAATGTAATGTATTTGCATTTTTTCACAAACTAGCCTCCTTAGTTTTTGAACATGAAAAACTGTCTCTCCCTTTCCTTCAATCTGTGGCTTTTCTTGCAGGATTTCCTCACCCAAAGGATGACACCCTGTCTCCTCATGGGAGTGGTTTGTAAATGACAATCCTCTGAGCCCTGTATAGAATTCACTTGAAAATTAATTCCTCCATGGATAAGCAACAAATAAATAAACAGATAGGTCTAGGACATACCCAGATCACTTTTAATGTTCTTCAATTCTTCTGGAAAAACAAAACCCTATGGAAACCAATCATTCACTTCAAGCTCAAATCTGCCATGGAAACGATAGCAAACAATGAATGGCAGCATGAAATTAAGTGACAAATTGTGTGATATGGACAACTATTTCTATAGAAATTCAGAGCAAAGGGATGATTGTTCTGAATGGGATGAAGTGGCAATAATTTACTGAGTACTAACATATGCTAAAGCCCTTCTCAGTGTTCTCCACAAATCATCTCATTTAATCTCACAATGGCTTTATGAGGTGGTGCTGTTATTACTCTCATTTCACAAAGGAGAAAAATGAAGCTCAAATGGTTTTAGTGCCCACAATTACAAGTAAGTCATCCAAGTTCAAACTCAGGCAGTGTGACCTGTCAAAGAAGGGCTTCGGGCCTCCATCTTGGACTAAAACCCAGACTGGACAATCACGCAAGGAATAGCTTTCTCACCCCGGCCAAGCCTGGACCAGGGAAGAAAACGTGTTAAACAGCTAGCAGCCTAATTGTAATGTTTGAAGCTCTCCTAAATATTTAGTTTCACTAAACTTCAGATTTTAGTTAGCTGTTCTTTACCTTTTTAAACTAGTACTATTTTAAAATTACCATAGTTCCTTTACAAAAGGGACACTTGGTCTTTCACTGAAAATAATGAGGTAAAAATTTAATAATGCTAACAAAGGTCAAAACCACAGAACACAGAATAAGCAACTGGAAGTCTCAGCTCCTTGGATTTCAGAACTGTTAGAGAGCTCAGGAGGCATTTAGTCGACAGAGGAATTAAGGAAGTCCAAGAGAAGAGAATGACTTCCTGCAAAGGCACCCAGCATGGTGACCTCACAGGCAGCATCAGAAGCCCATGCAGTCACTGACTACGTAAAAATGCCAAATTGTTCATTCTGTATCAAACTGAATAGCATATAATATATAATTTTCACAGTATTATGTGCTGGGCCAGACCCTCCCAATTTTTAACTAATTCATGGGAGTAACTAAGAGATATATCAAGTCTTTTACCTTATTTGGAAGCATGTGCCTTCTACAACCCGCAAGATATATCTTTCACAACAAAATTGTGTCCAATCAATCCTTTCTTGAATTCTGCACTATGGTCTTCTAACCTCTATTTATGCACACACATGATTTTCAACATTTTGGCCTTATTTGGGGAAGACAATGAGCGATCAGGCTTTCATTGTTAAAATGAATGATTCTATATTCATACACACAAAAATTAAATAAAGGAAAAGTGGAATAAGCAGCAGGGAAGAGATAATTTCCCTCTTTTACATTTATAACTTCCCACAAGAGCCAAATCTAACCACACTTAGGACATTTCTAATACTTGGAGTTGTTAACGCTTTAAAAAAAAAAACAACTATTCAACTACTGGCATATATTTTAAATTGTTTTTAATTTAATATGTTTAAATGTCTTTTTTCTTTGCTGTGTATTCAATGAAAGAAGCAATTATTAAAAAAATTATTTGCTTTTACATTAAATATAAAAGTGGTCGCTGAGATAGGAAACACTTGTAACCACCACCAATTTCTTGTTCTTTCCTTTAGTTAGAATTTCCATTCTCAGAAACAAGATTGTGATAGTTAAAGGTGGTGTTTATAACATATTATATAAATTCTACTGGTGAAGGCACTTTGTTTCATATAAGTTACTTAGTTCAAGCATTATGTATCATACAATGAATGTCATATGATGAAAGTTAATATTTTGATGTGATTGGAAGGGTACAATTTTAGTCATAACTCCTTAATTCTAATTAATTTTAATATCAATCACTTCGGTTCTTTATTCATTAAAATACTTTTTTACATATCTATATATAAATACTGTAGAGTTGATGAATCTACTAAGTGTCTGTTTTAACTCTTTTATATCACCCTATTAATGTTAATTTTTCTAGTTCTTTTTGTCTCTTGGTGTTTTAAAATACCCTCCTAAACAAATTAATAAAATAAATTACAATTTTTTTTTCTTAGTTGAGGTCTTACAATATATGCTGAACTCAATGTCTTATTGTACATTACTACAAATAATGATATGAAAAGTCTCAGAGAACGGTATTACATTTTTACTGTCCCCAGAACTCTAATAATATTTTGCTTGTTATTATTTTCTAAAAGTGAAATGAAGAGAAAGCACTCTGTATACTTAGAGGATTTAGATACTAGATTTTCATACGGAGAGAAGACTGAAGAAGACTGAATCTCTGTCTTCCTTTCTTCTTACACACACACACACACACACACACACACACACACACACACACACACATTCATGCTACATAACAGATGACCTTCTTCTTTCAACTATATATTTTATGGCAAATCTGTCTTCAAAAGCGCTATGCATTATTGGAAAATTAACATTACAATTATAAAGTTAATATTCATTTTTTAATAATCTTTGAATTATAAAAATATAATTTTTATTTAACTTTTCAGGGAAAAGCTATTATGTAAAACAAGGCACATCTGTGTTCTAAAAAACATTTTTGCATGCTTTTTATTTTTTAATATTTAAAAAAATTTGCCTTCTTGCATTTTTATTTTACATATACAACTTCAATGGACTTTCTTACACTTTCCAGCTCATTTTTCTGATCTAAAAAATGTGGCCAAATAGTTCTAAAAGAGCGCTGAGACAACTATCATCCAGAAACTAAATGTTCAAATTACACTCTGTCTGCCTCTCTGATGAACTGATAAATGAGTATCCAGTCAGAGATATCATACTAACACAATTTTCCAATCTATCCAGACAGATGTGGCTTAGACACATAAAGGCACATCCAAGAACAGCATTCCAATCTCAACTACATGTTTATGGAGCTTCGGAAACGTTGGTCCTTCTTTTTGAGTCATTAGGCTTGAGAGAATATATTTTGACAACTAGAATACTATTCTAGAAAAGCAACAGTGAAATCTGGGTTCTTCAGAATCAAGTGATTTACTATGTGGATTATTCAGGTTGCTGAGCTTTAAAGCATAGCTGAAGACCTAGGATTCTCATGCAATTACAAGTTTAAAGTGAGATAAATTGGCACTCACAGTTGTGGCAGGTGGCCCCACTGTATCCCGTCTCATCACAAGTGCATATGAAGCTGTCCCACGTTTGCGAGCACTTCCCACCATGCTCACAGTGATTGGGCACACATCTGTCAGAGAAAGAGACAAACAGAAATAAACCAACAAACAAATGAGATTTATGACTGGCTAAATTCCAAGCTGTCTGGGCAATATATCATTTCAATGCCAGGTTGCCTTACCAAGGCAATTAATCCTTGTTAGTTTAAGCAGATTAATATGATTCATGATGGAAGGTGCCAAGTGCACAAAAGATGATGTATCACAGGCTTGGTGTTCCCCATTTTTGAGTAAACAGTAGAAATTAACAAACAGCTGAGAGATTCATTTGCACATCACAGATTCATTTTATTTTCCTTTTGCAAAAAAAACAAAGACACTAGCTAAATTTCCTTCTGGCGAGAGACAAAACATTAGCCATCTTGTTTCCTGTACTATCCTTTATCAAGGCCAATAGTACCAAGTCAGAAAGCGGTAATGCTGAGTTGTTTTTTTTTTCATAGCAATATGAGTTTCTGAAATAATGCCACAGCAATGAGAATATACTAGCCTCATAAGGCAAGATTTCTCAGTCTTCCTTACCCCTCCTCCCATGCCCCGCCGGCTAATGAAAGCCACCTTTATAAGGAGGCAGCAAGTATAATATAGGGGGAAAATGCAGGTTTTGTGTTCAAATTTTTGTCTTTTTATTTACTTAACAGCCAGCTTTGATGATGTAATTTAACCTTTCTGATCCTCAATTTTCTCATTTGAAAAATGGAGTAATTATACCTATCTGATAAGTATTGGGTTGGCCAAAAAGTTCATTTGTTTTTTCCTTAACATCTTATGGAAATGAACTTTCTGGACAACCCAACAGTTTTGAGATTAGGAGGTAATGTCCATAAAGTAGATAATTAATAGGCAAGAAATAGAGGGCCAATAAACAGGAGCTATGGATATCTGAACCACTGCTTGCAGGGCACTGTTTTATAGTCTGCCTGGGTTCTCTCTTTCCAAGATGGCGGAGGAGTAAGACGCAGAGATCACCTTCCTCCCCACAGATACACCAGAAATACATCTACACGTGGAGCAACTCCTACAGAACACCTACTGAACGCTGGCAGGAGACCTCAGACCTCCCAAAAGGCAAGAAACTCCCCACGTACCTGGGTAGGGCAAGAGAAAAAAGAATAAACAGAGACAAAAGGATAAGGACGGTACCTGCACCAGTGGGAGGGAGCCGTGAAGGAGGAAAGGTCTCCACACACTAGGAGCCCCTTCGCGGGCAGAGATTGCGGGAGGCGGAGCGGGGAGCTTCGGAGCCGCGGAGGACAGCGCAGCAACAGGGGCGCGGAGGGCAAAGCGGAGAGATTCCCGCACAGAGGATCGGCGCCGACCGGCGCTCACCAGCCCGAGAGGCTCGTGTGCTCACCCGCCGGGGGCGGGCGGGGCTGCGAGCTGAGGCTCGGTTTCGGTTTCGGTCGGAGCGCAGGGAGAGGACTGGGGTTGGCGGCTTGAACACAGCCCGAAGGGGTTAGTGCGCCACGGATAGCCGGGAGGGAGTCCGGGGGAAAGTCTGGACCTACCCAAGAGGCAAGAGACCTTTTCTTGCCTCTGTGTTTCCTGGGGCGCGAGGAGAGGGGTTTTAAAAGCGCTGCCTAAAGGAGCTCCAGAAACGGGCGGGAGCCGCGGCTAAAAGCTCGGAAACCAGAGACGGGCGGGAGACGCTAAGGCTGCTGCTGCCGCCACCAAGGGGCCTGTGTGCGAGCACAGGTCACTGCCCCCACCCCTCTTCCGGGGAGCCTGTGCAGCCCGCCACTGCCAGGTTCCCGGGATCCAGGGACAATTTCTCAGGGAGAACACACGGCGGGCCTCAGGCTGGGGCAACGTCACGCCGACTTCTGCCGCCGCAGGACCGCTCCGCACTCCGTGCCCCTCCCTGCCCCCGGCCTGAGAGCGCCAGAGCCCCCGAGTCAGCGGCTCCTTTAACGCCGTCCTGTCTGAGCAAAAAGCAGACGCCCTCCAGCGACCTACACGCAGAGGCAGGGCCAAGTCGAAAGCTGAGCCCCTGTGAGCTGTGAGAACAAAGAAGAAAAAGGGAAATCTCTCCCAGCAGCCTCAGAAACAGCGGATTAAAGCTACACAATCAATTTGATGTACCCTGCCTCTGTGGAATACATGAATAGACAGCGAATCATCCCAAATTGAGGAGGCGGACTTCTAGAGCAAGATCTATGATTTTTTCCCCTTTTCCTCTTTTTGTGAATGTGTATGTGTATGCTTCTGTGTGAGATCTTGTCTGTATAGGTTTGCTTCCACCATTTGTCCCAGCGTTCTATCCGACCATTTTTTTTTTTAATTTTTTTCTTAATAATTAATTTTAATTTAAAGAACTCTGTTATACTTTACCTTCTTTCTATCTTTCCTTCCTTCCTTCCCTTTTTGAGACAACGAATCGTCCCAAATTGAGGAGGTGGACTTGGAGAGCAAGTTTTATGATTTTTTCCACTTTACCTCTTTTTGTGAGGGTATATGTGTATGCTTCTATGTAAGATTTTGTCTCTATAACTTTGCTTCCACCATTTGTCCTAAGGTTCTATCCTTCCCTTTTTTTTTTCCTCTAAATAATTATTTTTTTAATTCAATAACTTTATTATACTTTATTTTATTTTACTGTATCTTCTTTCTTTCTGTATTTTTTCCTTCCTTCCCTCATTCCTTCCTTCCTTCCCTCCTCCCTCCCTCCCTCCTTTCTTTCCTTCTTGCCTTCTTCCTTTCTTTTCTTCTTTCTTTCTTTCTTCCTTCCCTCCTTCCTTCCTTCCCTCCTCTCTTTCTTTCTTTCTTTCTTTCTTTCCTATTTCCTCCTACTTATACTAATTCTCTCTACTTTCTCTCCCTTTTATTCTGAGCCGAGTGGATGAAAGGCTCTTGCTGCTCCAGCCAGGAGTCAGGACTCTGCCTCTGAGGTGGGAGAGCCAACTTCAGAACACTCGTCAAGAAGAGACCTCCCAGCCCCACATAATATCAAACGGCGAAAATCTCCCAGAGATCTCCATCTCAACACCAGCACCCAGCTTCGCTCAACGACCAGCAAGCTACAGTGCTGGACAACCTATGCCAACCATATAGCAAAACAGGAACACAACCCCACCCACTAGCAGAGAGGCTGCCTAAAATCATAATAAGTCCACAGACACCCCAAAACACACCACCAGACGTGGACCTGCCCACTAGAGAGACAAGATCTAGCCTCATACACCACAACACAGCCACTAGTCCCCTCCACCAGGAAGCCTACACAACGCACTGAACCAACCTTAGCCACTGGAGACAGACATCAAAAACAACGGGAGCTACGAACTTGCAGCCTGCAAAAAGGTGAACCCAATCACAGTAAGATAAGCAAAATGAGAAGACAGAAAAACACACAGCAGATGAAGGAGCAGGATAAAAACCCACCAGACCTAACAAATGAAGAGGAAATAGGCAGTCTACCTGAAAAAGAGTTCAGAATAATGATAGTAAAGATGATCCAAAATCTTGGAAATAGAATGGACAAAATGCAAGAAGCAGTTAACAAGGACCTAGAAGAAATAAAGATGAAACAGACAATGATGAACAACACAATAAATGAAATGAAAAATACTCTAGATGGGATCAATAGCAGAATAAATGAGGCAGAAGAACGGATAAGTGACCTGGAAGATAAAATAGTGGAAATAACTACTGCAGAGCAGAATAAAGAAAAAAGAATGAAAAGAACTGAGGACAGTCTCAGAGACCTCTGGGACAACATTAAACGCACCAACATTCGAATTATAGGGGTTCCAGAAGAAGAAGAGAAAAAGAAAGGGACTGAGAAAATATTTGAAGAGATTATAGTTGAAAACTTCCCTAATATGGGAAAGGAAATCGTTAATCAAGTCCAGGAAGCACAGAGAGTCCCATACAGGATAAATTCAAGGAGAAATACGCCAAGACACATATTAATCAAACTGTCAAAAACTAAATACAAAGAAAGCATATTAAAAGCAGCAAGGGAAAAACAACAAATAACACACAAGGGAATCCCCATAAGGTTAACAGCTGATCTCTCAGCAGAAACTCTACAAGCCAGAAGGGAGTGGCAGGACATACTGAAAGTGATGAAGGAGAAAAACCTGCAACCAAGATTACTCTACCCAGCAAGGATCTCATTCAGATTTGATGGAGAAATTAAAACCTTTACAGACAAGCAAAAGCTGAGAGAGTTCAGCACCACCAAACCAGCTTTACAACAAATGCTAAAGGAACTTCTCTAGACAAAAACACAAGAGAAGGAAAAGTCCTATAATAACGAACCCAAAACAATTTAGAAAATGGGAATAGGAACATACATATCGATAATTACCTTAAATGTAAATGGACTAAATGCTCCCACCAAAAGACACAGATTGGCTGAATGGATACAAAAACAAGACCCATATATATGCTGTCTACAAGAGACCCACTTCAGACCTAGAGACACATACAGACTGAAAGTAAGGGGATGGAAAAAGATATTCCATGCAAATGGAAACCAAAAGAAAGCTGGAGTAGCAATTCTCATATCAGACAAAATAGACTTTAAAATAAGGACTATCAGAAGAGACAAAGAAGGACACTACATAATGATTAAGGGATCGATCCAAGAAGAAGATATAACAATTGTAAATATTTATGCACCCAACATAGGAGCACCTCAATACATAAGGCAAAAACTAGCAGCCATAAAAGGGGAAATCGACAGTAACACATTCATAGTAGGGGACTTCAACACCCCACTTTCACCAATGGACAGATCATCCAAAATGAAAATAAATAAGGAAACACAAGCTTTAAATGATACATTAAACAGGATGGACTTAATTGATATTTATAGGACACTCCATCCAAAAACAACAGAATACACATTTTTCTCAAGTGCTCATGGAACATTCTCCAGGATAGATCATATCTTGGGTCACAAATCAAGCCTTGGTAAATTTAAGAAAATTGAAATTATATCAAGTATCTTTTCCGACCACAACGCCATGAGATTAGATATCAATTATAGGAAAAGAGCAGTAAA